GTATACACGTGGTCACAACACTATAGTACTATAGTAAACAGTATACACGTGGTCACAACACTATAGTACTATAGTAAACAGTATACACGTGGTCACAACACTATAGTACTGTAGTAAACAGTATACACGTGGTCCCAACACTATAGTACTATAGTAAACAGTATACACGTGGTCACAACACTATAGTACTGTAGTATACAGTATACACGTGGTCACAACACTACAGTACTATAGTAAACAGTATGCACGTGGTCACAACACTATAGTACTGTAGTAAACAGTATAGACGTGGTCACAACACTATAGTACTATAGTAAACAGTATACACATGGTCACAACACTATAGTACTATAGTAAACAGTATACACGTGGTCACAACACTATAGTACTGTAGTAAACAGTATACACGTGGTCCCAACACTATAGTACTATAGTAAACAGTATACACGTGGTCACAACACTATAGTACTGTAGTATACAGTATACACGTGGTCACACCACTACAGTACTATAGTAAACAGTATGCACGTGGTCACAACACTATAGTACTGTAGTAAACAGTATAGACGTGGTCACAACACTATAGTACTATAGTAAACAGTATACACATGGTCACAACACTATAGTACTATAGTAAACAGTATACACGTGGTCACAACACTATAGTACTGTAGTAAACAGTATATACGTGGTCCCAACACTATAGTACTATAGTAAACAGTATACACGTGGTCACAACACTATAGTACTGTAGTAAACAGTATACACGTGGTCCCAACACTATAGTACTATAGTAAACAGTATACACGTGGTCACAACACTATAGTACTGTAGTAAACAGTATACACGTGGTCCCAACACTATAGTACTATAGTAAACAGTATACACGTGGTCAAAACACTATAGTACTATAGTAAACAGTATACACGTGGTCACAACACTATAGTACTATATTAAACAGTATACACGTGGTCACAACACCATAGTACTGTAGTAAACAGTATACACGTGGTCACAACACAAGCAATCGTCTTCAGGTGAAATAATACAGCAGGCGGACTGCTGAGACAGGAAGAAATGTAGCGAGAGAGCTACTGCAACCAAAGGTTACACTATATACGTTTGTGGTGGGATTTGCAAGTAAATGTAAGATCGCAGAGCAAGCATACCCCGGCTAATCCCTCGGCTACTCCGAGGGGGAGTGGGAGCGGAGGGGCTGCCGTAACGGGCGAGATAGTGGGGGTGAAATTTACAGAGGGTACAAGCTGATAGAAAGAGGATCAAACTCAGCAAACTTAGAAATGTAATGCAACTCATTGAGTCGGCCAACACAACAAATAATACTTTGCCTGGTTGATCACCGTCCTTCTCTGCTTGTGTGTCTCCCTGTGTGTGGGGAGCGGTGGTGCAGCTGTTAGCGCTACGCTGCGCTATGAACCTGGCGACCCGGGTTCGATTCCCGCTCACGGCCAACACCAGTGACGATTATCTGAACCGGTCCCGGGCCTCCCCTAGGTCGACTCAGCCTCAAATGAGTACCTGGTGCGGTGTGTAAACATCGCCACTAGGGAGACAAAGGCGGTCGGGCGTGGTGCTGGCCACCCACCCCCTCGTGTACTGTTCCGGCCTTCACAGGTGCTCGCTAACAGCACTTGCCCCTACAGTCTGTTCAGGCTATACGGGGGATCTTTGTGTCTCCCTGTCTGTGTTTGGTCTCTCTCTCTCAAATTTAGTTTCACCTGATGACGACTGCTTGAGTTGCAATCGAAACGTCGTATTCTATTATTTTGTTTATTTTTTCTACGTGACTTTACCGAAAGACCATTGAGTAACAACAGTGTTTTTACGAATCACAGCTAAGAGACAAACAACATTATATTTTCTATTAAACATAACATTTTAATAACATGTTAAAAAATACTTTAAATCTCATCACTGCTCCTCATACTCAATCCGTGATCAGTGCCGGATTATCCTCGGAACAAAATAATCATTAGCTGTGGGCCCCGCACTTTCAAGCGCCCCGCGCTAAATGATCTCACCCTATAAATCCCCGTTCAGTGATTCTGTACTTGCTCTATTACTATAGTAAAATTACAATTACTTTACTATGCAAGTTAAAAACTTCGTGCTTTATAATTGTGTTTTTTATTTATTCTGGGCACCTTTATAATATAAGCTACAGGACCCGCACGAGCTTAATCCGGCACTGTCCGGGATACTGTTCCAGTGCCCAACCAGGCTGTTGAAGACACCGTGAGTGGAGTTGAGGGGGATCGGTGGAGGTGTGAAGGGGGCGAGTGATGCCGACGGGCTGCGAGGGGGTCATCCGAGAGGGTGCCCAGTGGGGAGATGAAGCAATGAAATCGCTCCACGTGCAGGTGCTGGGTGGATTACTGCACAGCGGCATCGTGGGAGGTGGCGACGGCTCGTGGAGGTCTCTACCCACTAGTGGATTGACCATGGCTGATGGTGGTGATGATGATGGATGTTGCTCACTCACTTGGCGACGTATGAAACGCCAGAGATGCACGGCGATGTGCAGGGTGTTCAGCAGCATGGTGGAGCTGATGGCCTCCTTGCAGCCGCTGTACAGCTGACCTACAGCGTGGAGCAGAGCAGGGAGCGCGCTGTCCACTATGGCCTGGCAGCTGCTGCTCAGCTCACCCATAGCCTGCAGGAGGGCAGGGAGCACGCTGTCCACAATGTCCTCACTGTGGCTACTGAACATCGGTCCCCAGGTGGCGACCCCTGCTGATGCAGAGACGTTCTTCACGAGTCCCGAGTAGTTGATCGTGGTGGTGGTGGTGTTGGAGGCGTTAATGTCCGAACCCCCACGCCGAGATCCTCCGAGGAGCTCCACCATCGGCTGCGTGAGCAGCAGAACCACAGTGAGGACAGCCGTGAAGATCGCCATGGTGGTGGTGGTGGCGAAGGTCTCTGAAGAACTCGAAGTGGAGGAGCAGCGTGGGGCGAGGTGGTTTCCTCTCCAGGAGCCGACTCCACTCTGACCTCTGCCGTGACGTCACCGGGCCATGACGTCACCGTGACGTCAGAGGTTTCCACGGCTCTTACGTCATTATAGCATTTGGAACGTGGCTGTGCAATGGAACATCAACACGTGATGCACTACAACACTGTATTGTTTATAGAATTGTAATACAATACTAATTATTCACATCTGAGACAGAACATCGGCAGAGGAGGGAGCCTCACTCCTCACTTCTCCCAACCAGCTTAAAAGTCGCTACGAATCTTAACAGCGTTCATTGAAGCTCTGTGGATGTGTAGGCCTTACTTTAACATATATTTCTGTGACCAGTCACAAGCTAATCCCTTAGCTATTTCAATGCTAAATTACTAGTTGCCTCCGTGGATGTGTAGGTTTTTACTTTAACATAGCCATTTCCGTGACCAGTCACAAGCTAATCCCTCAGCTATTTGCACAAGCTAATCCCTTAGCTATTTCAATGCTAAATTACTAGTTGCCTCTGTGGATGTGTAGGTTTTGACTTTAACATAGCCATTCCTGTGACCAGTCACAAGCTAATCCCTTAGCTATTTCAATGCTAAATTACTAGTTGCCTCTGTGGATGTGTCGGTTTTGACTTTAACATAGCCAATTCCGTGACCAGTCACAAGCTAATCCCTCAGCTATTGATATGTAAACCCCTTTGTCAAGGTGCCTTACTTCTCCCAACCAGCTTAAAAGTCGCTACGAATCTTAACATCGTTAATTGAAGCTCTGTCGTCCCGACAGTACTGTACCTTTCACCTAAAGACGGCCGCTTGCGTTGTGGCCAAAACGTCGTGAGAATTTTATTGTTTTTTTTATTATTTTATTCTCATTCTACGTGACTTTACCGAAAGAACCAAAGAAAATAAAATAATAAAGATATAAAACAATAAAATTCCCCAAATCAAAATTCATATACTGTTGATTTATTCACTCCATCTCCGCAGTGGACACTGCCGGTTGTGTTCCTTCCTTAGCTCCCATTCCCACGTTAGTCTCGACCACCGGCCGTCATCACTTCAAGTTGTGTGTCCTGCCTCACCCCACCTTTCTAAACTAAAATTACGTCCTTAATTATATGAAGTCATATGAAGTCCAATTGACGTGTCCGTCTTCCAGTATCAGTGTAATTCTTAGGATGTGCATCATCTCTACGCTTCCTTGTGCATTTCTAAACATTGGTTCTACTTTCCGTTTGTGATGCATCTGTTTGAAAAAAACGTTCTGCTTAAGGCATATGGCTCAGTTACGTTTCATTATTAAGTTAAGATAACAATAAGCACTTTGTTCTGCCCTGATACACCTCTCTTAATCATTTTCATCCGTCTTCCCCTTCAACAACCGCCCTACGTGTAGATGCACTTCTGTGTTTTCAAGGCTGTGTCCCTGTTCTTTTTGCGTTCAGTTTGTTATTCCCCCGCACCTCCAGTAAAGCATGGTTGGCTGCGTACGGTGCGAAAGAAGTTCACCATGCAAACATACGCTGCGTTGAAAAATGATTCTACTGACTGCAGACCAATCCTGGACAGATTTCTCAATACGAGTGCAATATCGAGGGTACAGATCAATACCAACTGAACACAGATGCTAATTCATGGACGGGTGGCAACTCTAGCCATGCCCATGCAAACATACACAACATCTTGACCATGAATCGCCTATGCGGCAGATTAAATGTCAAGCATTATACATTGAATTTCGATCTACTTTTGTTCGTTTTGATTTATTTTGGCGCAGTTTCAAGTAAGTATTTTTAATAGAATTATTGTATTGCCATTTACTGTATAATTGTGATAATAGACCAAGCACTGAGACATTGCCCAGGGTTGGTCTACAATCGAAAAGGTTGCAACCCCATAGCACACCCTCATGTGTTCCAGTGTTAACACATCGTATGTTTGTATCTTGAAATTCTTTCGCACCGTACGTAGCCCACCGCTCCCCCCACCACACACGTGCACAGCAGCTCCAGAGAGCGACTTTTGGGTCAGAGGTAGCCGCATTGTACTGGGGCCGTCCATAAATGAGGGGGGGGGGGGGTTGAGAAATGTGACGTCACATCAAAATGCGCAACTTTAAATAAATATAGACAACACGTTCTACGTAATTAAATAGACTTTTTAATAAATATTTTCTCCTACAACATCAGAGTGCAGCGCCACATTAAATAAGCACCACGATGACAATAGTTTAAAGCGATATGAAGCATGCTTTATTTTGGGGGGGGGGGCACAGCTTTGTACCGTCATATTTGAGGGGGGGCTCTGACTCTTTGTGACGCCGCGTGACGATGGGAGGGGGGGTCAAAAATCGTCTAAAATCGCGTGACGTCATTTATGGACGGCCCCCACAGCGTGAAATAGCGCAACAAACCGAACCCGCGTACAGCGAGGGAAGCCCTGGCTGGTTTATCATTCATTAATCTCCAGTTCAGTCACAAACGAATCTCTTAGAGCCGAAGGCGCGATCCAGTATCACGTTGGCATGCCGTGTCAACCCGTACGGGGTTACCCCGTATTGGTGTACAGGGAGATTGAGTTCTCAGGTCCATACGGCTTACTAGAGCCGTTTCAAAACGGGCAAAACAATGTTTTGTGTTTCTCCCCTTGTGATGGGACTTTGTAGGATGAACGTTGAGATTTGTAAGGGGCACGGGGTGACCAATAAGGTCTGAATTGGTCTGTAATAAGAGAGGCAATGGTTAGGGGTTGACAGGTGTGCGTTGGCACTGCGTGCCACGTCGCGTTGTCATACAGCTGACACTCCGATGAGCAATGATTCGGCGACGCACGGTGCCAAAGGGGCCGTCCATAAATGACGTCACGCGACTTCTGACGATTTTTGACCCCAACCCCCCATTGTCACACGGCGTCACAAAAAGTCAGACCCCCCCCTCAAATATGACGTCACAAAGCTTTGGCCCCCCTCCCACCAAATAAAACATGCTTCAAATCGCTTTAAACTATTGTAATTGTAGTGCGTATTTAATGTGGCGCTGCACTCTGATGTTGTAGGAGAAAACATTTATTAAAAAGTATATTTAATTAAGTAGAACGTGTCGTCTATATTTATTTAAAGTTGCGCATTTTGATGTGACGTCACATTTCTCACCCCCCCCCCCCCTCGTCACACATCGTCACAAATGTCTGATCGCCCCCCCCCCAGGTGCGTGACGTCATTTATGGACGGCCCCAAAGACGTTCAACATTCGTGCGTATCCGCCGTGATGTGGGGCGAAGTAATATTCTAATCTTATTATCCGCGATGCCTGCAGGATTAGCTTTTTTCTTCTTCGTCTTCCAAAGCAGATTATTAATGAGAATATTGATGGAATTTCCCCCAGTGCATGTTGGCTGGGGAAGGGCTGTTTAAGACCCGCGGTGAACCCGCTCATCTCCACGTATCGGCATGAAATGATAAAATCGCAGATTTTCGGAAGCGCGTTCGTTTCAAGTGGATGCTTGTTGTCAACACCGCCATATTGACAGCACTCGCAATCATCCCATACTCAATTGAAACTCTTCTTAAGTAATTGCTTATTGTGTTTAGTTCCTTGTCCTTATCTCATACCTCCGATTAGCACGGTGGGCTACGTACGGTGCGAAAGAATTTCAAGATACAAACATACGATGTGTTAACACTGGAACACGTTAGGGTGTGCTATGGGGTTGCCACCTTTTCGATTGTAGACCAACCCTGGAAATGTCTCAGTGCTTGGTCTATTATCATAATTATACAGTAAATGACAATACAATAATTGTATAAAAAATTCTTACTTGAAACTGCTCCAAAATCAATCAAAACGAACAAAAGTAGATTGGAATTCAATGTAAAATGCTTGACATTTAATCTGCCGCATAGGCGATTCATGGTCAAGATGTTGTGTATGTTTGTATGGGCATGGCTAGAGTTGCCAACCGTCCGAGAAATAGCATCTGTGTTCAGGTCGTATTGATCTGTACCCTCGATATTGCACTCGTATTGAGAAATCTGTCCAGGTTTGGTCTGCTATCAGTAGAATCATTTTTCAACGCAGAGTATGTTTGCATGGTGAACTTCTTTCGCACCGTGCGCTGCCAACCATGCTTTAATGGAGGTGCGGGGGAATGACAAACTGAACGCAAAAAGAACAGGGACACAGCCTTGAAAACACAGAAGTGCATTTGCACGTAGGGCGGTTGTTGAAGGGGAAGAGGGATGAAAATGATTAAGAGAGGCGTATCAGGGCAGAGCAAAGTGCTTATTATTATCTTAACTTAATAATGAAACGTAACTGAGCCATATGCCTTAAGCAGAACGTTTTTTTTTCAAACAGATGCATCACAAACAGAAAATAGAACCAATGTTTAGAAATGCACAAGGAAGCGTAGAGATGATGCGCATCCTAAGAACAACACTGATACTGGAAGACGGACACGTCAATTGGACTTCATATGCAAATTAAGGACGTAATTTTAGTTTAGAAAGGTGGGGTGAGGCAGGACACACAACTTGAAGTGATGACGGCCGGTGGTCGAGACTAACGTGGGAATGGGAGCTAAGGAAGGAACACAACCGGCAGTGTCCACTGCGGAGATGGAGTGAATAAATCAACAGTATATGAATTTTGATTTGGATAATTTTATTGTTTTATATCTTTATTATTTTATTTTCTTTGGTTCTTTCGGTAAAGTCACGTAGAATGAGAATAAAATAATAAAATGACACGATAAAATTCTCACGACGTTTTGGCCACAACGCAAGCGGCCGTCTTTAGGTGAAAGGTAACTGTCGGGACGACAGAGCTTCAATTAACGATGTTAAGATTCGTAGAGACTTTTAAGCTGGTTGGGATAAGTGAAGCACCTTGACAAAGGGGTTTACATATCAATAGCTGAGGGATTAGCTTGTGACTGGTCACGGAATTGGCTATGTTAAAGTCAAAACCTACACATCCACAGAGGCAACTAGTAATTTAGCATTGAAATAGCTAAGGGATTAGCTTGTGACTGGTCACAGGAATGGCTATGTTAAAGTCAAAACCTACACATCCACAGAGGCAACTAGTAATTTAGCATTGAAATAGCTAAGGGATTGGTTTGTGCAAATAGCTGAGGGATTATCTTTATTATTTTATTGTTTCCCTTCTACGTGACTTTACCGAAAGAACCAAGAATATAGTATATGAATTAGATCATTTATTTATTTTGCTAACTTTACAATTAATCGTACATTTTAATTGTACTAGTTTAATGTCTTCAGGTTTAGTTTCTAATTCTCTAGGATAAAACAAGTTATTTTGTCAAAAAGAATGACGTTAATTGGCGCATACATTGAAAGTGCAATTTTAAATGAACCGTGTCAGTCTTCAAATACTGTTCTGGTTATTCCCACCTTGTTGGTGTCCCTATTGTCTCCTGCACCCACTAACAACGGAGTTATTGTTGGGATGGAGAGAAGCACAGCCAGCAGCCAGCCAGGAAACTCGAGACATAGAATATATTAATAGCAGCATGACTTACACTGCTACAGCAGCGAGGTGGTCATGTAACTATTTACATTCTCTGTGTCGCAAACATTAAATGGCAACTAATCTTTCCGTGGTACGCTTGTCCCCACGATTTGAGGACCAATTCCTTAGCGAAGGATTTACTACCAATTGAAGGATGATACAAGTGAAATGTGAAGTGGTAAGATTGATCTTAGATCATTGCAAGCCAATCCCAGATTCTGAGTGCGGAGTGACTCGGCAGGGCCGACGGCGTGAGCCTGGCACCTTGGGAGTTGTCATGGTCAGGGAGCAATGAGGCCGCGTTACCGGTTGTCTTAGTTTTGGGGAATTCTGTGTCCAGAACTCTGGTCCACAGTAACGATGAAACAAACACAATGTAGAAAAAAAGAACAGTTGCAACTCTTGCAGGAAAATGAAAGGTATTTTATTACAAAAAACAAACATCATTTACCATTCACACAAACAGTATAGTATTATAGTAGTTCGAAAATTAGACTGTGGAAAAGTCATATGTAATGATGAAAAATAATTAAAGATAACATTTATCATTATCTTATTGCAATATATGAACGTGTAATGGCAAATTAAAACGATGCGATACAATTTGACACTCCTTTACAGCGATACACTTAATCCAATGAAGTTGAATGTGAACGCTGAAACACGTAAATATTACTGAACATAGCGTGGATAGAAGAAACTGCTCTTTGTTTTTTTCGGTAAAGTCACGTAGAAATAAGAAATAATAAAATAAAATTACAGAATAGCATATTCCCTGGCAGTAGCTACGAGCAGATGCCAGGGGCAGCCAGAAGCGTCCAGAATGACGCAGCTGCTCCCAGGGGCTTACATCATCCGCCCAGAATCAAGAGCGTGACTCGTGTCTCAGGCTGCAGTTTATGACAAGTTCACTACAATAGCATTTAGTTCACCCTGCCAATGTGTAAGTATCAAACCATAACATTACGTATATTTTAAAAATAACCATTGTACAGAATTGATAGTTTTTTATTAATTAAGTTAAATGTAAGGGACATTCGTTGTTTTTGTGTGACTCAGTCTTTCCTGATAAGGCTGATGATGTCATTGTGCTGTGTAAGCGAGAATTTAAGTTTCGGTTTGTATCACCCTTCAAAGTGTAGTAATTTCAGTTAAATATAGAAGAGCACATCACTCTGTTTTACATTCATTATGAGTGCTGAGTGAATTCCATGGCAGTAAACTGCTCACAAACTGCACCCTGAGACACGAGTCACGCTCTAGATTCTGTGCGGATGGAGGAAGCCCCTGGGAGCAGCTGCGTCATTCTGGACGCTTCTGGCTCCCCCTGGCATCTGCTCGTAGCTACTGCCAGGGCTATAAAAGCAGCTCCTGTAGCTGCACTGGCAGAACATCGGCGGAGGAGGGAGCAGCGCTCACAGCTGAAGCGAGCCTCACTGTGAAGCACATCAACAAGCATGGCCCTGAGTGTTTACTTCCCTGCGATGCACGTGATGGAGAGGAGCGTCTGGCCAGGCTGGCCGGTCTGGAACCCCCGCGGTGAAAGTCTCTTCCAGCAGCTGCAGCGAGACATGAGGAGCGAGATCGAGAGGATGGAGAGAATCTTCCGTGGAGTCGATCAGCTCAGCAGCCACACGCGGGCCCCGGGCAGCCACGGAGACGCACTGCTGCAGCAGCCGGCCGTGAGCAGTGGGTTCCAGATTGAAGATCCACAGGAGCAGGGAGGCGGGTTTGTCGCGTCCCTGGACGTGCAGGACTTCTCCCCACAGGACCTGGCCGTGAAGGTGTCTGGAGACAAGCTGGTGGTGGCCGGACGGCGCGAGGTGAAGAGCGGAGAAGTCAGCAGCGGCAGCTACAGCCACAGCTGCCAGGAGTTCCACAGGGAGACGCAGCTGCCCAGGGACGTGGACCCGCAGAGCGTGAGCTGCTGCTTGACTGAAGACGGGAAGCTGAAGTTCAAGGCTCAGCGCCGCGCCCTCCCTGCAGCGGCCGAGAGGGTGGTGGTCATTGAGCAGCCAGCGACAGCGACTCCTGGCACGGCCTCTCAGTCCACTGGCACCACTCACGCGTAGAGTGGCGCCTGGAGCATCCATTCCAACAACCTGCTTCATTGATGTTTTAATTGTGTGGATATTTAGTTAAATCAGTTTCTTCTATCCACGCTATGTTCAGTAATATTTACGTGTTTCAGCGTTTACATTCAACTTCATTGGATTAAGTGTATCGCTGTAAAGGATTGTCAAATTGTATCGCATCGTTTTAATTTGCCATTACACGTTCATATATTGCAATAAGATAATGATAAATGTTATCTTCAAGTATTTTTCATCATTACACATGACTATTTTCCACAGTCTAATTTTCGAACTACTATAATACTATAGTGTTTGTGTGAATTTTAATGATGTTTGTTTTTTGTAATAAAATGCCTTTCAATTTCCGTATTCGTGTACAGGGAAATTGATTTTTCAGGTCCATACGGCTTACTACAGCCGTTTTATAACGGGCAAACAATGTTTTGTGTTTTTCCCCTTGTGATGGGACTTTGTAGGATGAACGTTGAGATTTGTAAGGGGCACGGGGTGACCAATAAGGTCTGAATTGGTCTGTAATAAGAGAGGCAATGGTTAGGGGTTGACAGGTGTAAGTTGGCACTGCGTGCCACGTCGCGTTGTCATACAGCTGGCACTCCGATGAGCAATGATTCAGCGACGCACGGTGCCAAAGGGGCCGTCCATAAATGACGTCACGCGATTTTTGACCCCCCCCCCCCATCGTCACACGGCGTAACAAAAAGTCACACCCCCCCCATCAAATATGACGTCACAAAGCTGTGCCCCGCCCCTCCCCAAACATATAAAACATGCTTCAAATCGCTTTAAACTATTGTCATTGTAGTGCGTATTTAATGTGGCGCTGCACTCTGATGTTGTAGGAGAAAACATTTATTAAAAAGTCTATTTAATTAAGTAGAACGTGTTGTCTGTATTTATTTAAAGTTGCGCATTTTGATGTGACGTCACATTTCTCAGCCCCCCCCCTCGTCACACATCGTCACAAATATCTGACCCCCCCCCGCCCCCCCTAGGTGCGTGATGTCATTTATGGACGGCGCCAGTACAATGCGGCTACCTCTGACCCAAAAGTCGCTCTCTGGAGTTGCTGTGCGCGTGTGTGGTGGGGGGAGCGGTGGCGCAGCGGTTAGCGCACTGCGCTCTGAACCCCGACTACACGAGTTCGAATCCTGGGTCCCCCTTCCCCCTAGGTCGACTCAGCCTCAAATGAGTACCTGGTGCGCGGTGTGTAGTAAACATCGCCACTGGGGGAGACAAAGGCGGCCGGGCGTGGTGTTGGCCAACCACCCCGTCGTGTGCTCTGCCAGCCTTCATAGGTGCTCGCTAACGGCACTTACCCAAATAAGTCTGTTCAGGGCTATACGGGGGGATCTTTGTACCTGAGACAGGCTTTGATGGCCCTATGAAATTGAAGTAGAATTTGAAGTAAATATTTTAAGTAATCAATTTACCAATACCCTTATTTACCAATAACATGCAGTTCAAATAGCATCTCCTGGTACCAAATATATAATATTTCAGATGAACTTCATGAAACCAAATGCATTGTGTTAAATTCCTTTTAATTTTTTTGATATAAAACAAATGCTCAGATATAAAATTTCTACAGTACGTATAATGTTCACAAATGTTCACAAATGTTCACACGTAACCAACCGATTAGCACGGTCGGCTACATGCGGTGCGAAAGAAGTTCAACATACATACATAGTGAAGAATATATAATTGTGGATTGAGCATGCTGCGCGTGACTTAAGTTGGTGTAAACATTCAAAGCAGTGTGCAGCAAGTGTCAGTGCTTGCGCGTGTGCGAAAGCGTGTGTGATGCATCGCTCAGCCCACGCTCGATCGTTTTCAGGTCGTCCATGTCGTCCCGAATGATGGAAATTAGATGGCTCAGTCCTTCCTGCTGCTGCCTCAAGTGCTGCAATGTCAGCAAAACAATTACAAAATGTCAATGCATAATTATTGTAACAATCGGGCGTTACAGTATATTATAGGAAAAGGGCATGCAGTGTAACTAAGACAAAGCTGCTAATATTCAACTGCAGTATCACAATGTAGCATTGCCAATGATTCCTAAACGCCTTGCTTATCTTCAACATTTGGTCTCTCTCGAAGCATCCTGTCCAATTTACAGTTCTAACTTGCTTCATGCTTCTACCTGTCGCAACAAATAACATTTATCTTCCCTTCTGGTGATAGGTAAGGCTGGACTCATTGGCTTCGATCTTTTTAAACTAGCTCAGAATTGCTACCAGTCTTTCCCGATTGGTCTGCGGTGTGTGGCACAGTCTCCCGTGGCTGTCCACACAGCCGATTCCATCCTCTTGTCGACTTAAAACAAAACTCTAAAACAACTTTCTGACTCGATCCCAAAAACCAGCGGCACACACCAAGCACAGTGGGCAATGTCCACGGCTCTTATCCCCTGCTGCAAAGCGCTGTGACACTTACAATTTGGTTTTAAAAGTGATCACCTTCCTATACTTCTTGGCACTTGAAGCAATAGGATCACACGATCTGAGAGGAGGGTACGCGACCACGTACTGTATCATTTCACGTACTGTATCGTACTGCTCAGTGATGCAGCTCAAAAAACCGACGACTTACCGGTAGCGATACAATGGGCATGGAGGGAGCATTGCCTAGCAACGTATGTGCGAGCAACTGCCTCGCTCTTTAAAGTAGTTGCCCGCTAGCAGCAACGTGATAGCGATACCACGATACCACGCAACGTTAAACCCATACATGGGTAGTGATTCATCACGAACTTTGTTGCAAAACAATGTTAAACAGGGTCAACATTTTACTTTGATATTGTTTTGATTAATGATTAGTCTGTTTCAACTCCTATTTCCACGTCATTGTTTTTGCTCAGATCTCTACTTGTTTTATTGTTGCGCTTGTGCAGACGTTATTGCTTTTCGAATTTGTGTAACCCTGGTCCCTCAAGTTCTCAACTAGTAAAAAAAACAACAACAAATGAACTCGACAGCAGCTTTCACTAACACTCACAAATCACTGAGACGAACATACTTACTTGTTTGATTTCCATGAGCAGGCCAGGCTCCACGCTGTACTTGTCATCCGAGCGTGCAACTCCACAGTGGCTCTGCATGCGAACCTGAGACATGAGCTCATTGAGTCGGCCCTGCACGCAAACAGCAAGAAACAGAAGCCCGGTGAGACACTAATTTTGGCATACAAATACTCTAAAACCCATTCGAGTGCAGCCATGCAAGCTGAACAAATACAAGACCTGGAACACAGGCATGCATTGGAAACACATGCATAGGCCAACCATTGCCATACACCGTGCATCTCATTACATATACATGCAACTGTGGCTCTGTGCTTCACAATTCTCAAGTATGGGCCTCTATTCACCGCTGTATGCAATTGATAATAATTGTATGAGATTAGATGGACAATGAGAACACATTATGACAGATTCACATCGCTTAAACAGATCACCATGGCGATCTGCATCATTGTGGTAATGAAGATGTCACTTTTTTGTAAAAAAATCTGATGAAATTAAACATTCACCAATATTGATTTGAAGCTTTCGTGACAGCAGGAATCCACACTCTTTGGTTCTTTCGGTAAAGTCACGTGGGTAGAAAGTAAAATAAATCACGACGTTTCGGGCGCAACACAAGCATCCATCATCACTAGCCCCGGCCACTTCTTTATAACCCTTGAGCTACACCCATTTCAAACCTTTTAAAACAGTCTGCCTCAGCAGCAGACCAAGCTCTCCCACCTGATGATGGACGCTCGTGTTGCGCCCGAAACGTCGTGATTTTATTTTATACCTACGTGACTTTACCGGAGGAACCAAAGAGTATTCACCAATTTAAGAGGATTGGAGAAGTGACATCCAAGTGGGGTATGGCGTGTGCTGCTTCTTGCAGATATCCCTGGTTTGCCACCGGGTGGTCACCATGGTTAATTCTACGGGCGTATTGACCATAAAATACTATGCACTGCCCGCTTCACAATGGATGTGAAAGATCCCACGGTATACTTCAGAGAAGAGTAGGCATTATGTGCTGGGTATGACGGCCCAAATTTTCCAAATGAGAAAAACAGCTCACAAATTCATATTCTTAGTTTTTTCGGTAAAGTCACGTTGAAGGGAAACAACAAAATAATAAAATATATATAAAACAGTAAAAAATTCTCACGACGTTTCGACCATAACTCAAACGTTTGAGTTATGGTCGAAACGTCGTGAGAATGTTTTATTCTTTTATATATATTTTATTATTTTGTTGTTTCCCTTCAACGTGACTTTACCGAAAAAACTAAGAATATGAATTACTGCAGTCACGAAAGCTTTAAATCAAAGCTCACAAATTACTTAATATGGAAACATAACAATCGTAACCTCATGTGCAAACTTCACGCACTCCAACCCAAAAACCTTTATTATGAAAGATATTGGTCGCGGAATCCCACTTATTAAATTCAATACATTTGCAGAACCCTCCTGAAACGAGTGTTAAGACTCGCCGAGACCGTCCGAGATATAATAAGCGCAATAATAAGTGTACAACTGTGAATCGCAACTTATTACCTCTGTTTACCCAGAAAAAGCCTCACCTGAATCTCAAGAATGTTCAGCAGGGTCTCACCAAGTTTGCACAATGTCGGGTTAAACCGGAAAACCCGGAGGAAACCAGTACAGAACAGGGAGTGACGATACAACTCAATCTGTAAAGATGCCCTAATTGGGATTATAACCATGAATGACCTTCGTACCGAGGCACAAGCATCACCACTCTGGCGCCCACCTTGTACTGAGTGGGTGCGTTGAGGTCTCCCTGCAGGGACTCGAGTGTCACGCGCAGCTGCTCCTCGTCCGACTGGATGGCGCAGCCACTCTTGCGCATCACTTCCTGCTTTGTTACCACCTGATGTCACACAATGGACACTTAGGCACATCTATCAATGCCGATCACGGAAAGTCACAGTGAATTCCTACTCACGTGAGCCTTGAGAGCCCCTGCTCATCTCCCATTTACAGTCTTTTCGTGGAAATTCCCCATAGGATATCACCATAGGATATTACCAAAAAAAGTAGTACTTGTTTTTTGCAACCTCGGAGGATTTGAACTCACAAGCGTTCGATTCAGAGCCACTCGCTCTACTGCTGAGCCACCTGGCAGATGACCACATACTGTAAAAGAGTAAAACCTCGCTATGTGCAATTTCTGCATTCGCGAGTTTCGCATATTTGCGATTTACTAAATGTATACCAATTTTCTATTCATGACCTGCCGGACCCCAACGTTCAGAAGTCTACGTAGTGCCAGGCCACCGGACACTGGGGAGGTGTGTGCAGAATTTTACATTTGAAACTGCCTGCGAAGATTAGGCGTGCCCCCTCGGCTCTCGCAGTGATCTCACTCTGAACTAGCTATTGCGCGGTTTTACTTAATACGTACTTACAGTCGACTCGTTTAAATTTTGGTATAAACGAGTCGACCGAGGTTCATTAAAAAGAAGGCGAATGCAATCGGGGAAAGTGTTGCGGCTAACGCTCCCCAGAGTGCTAAAATTATAACTGTACAGAGTTGTTGTCAAACACCTGCATCTTCCGAGGAATCATCCTCCTGAATTATTTAACGTCACGACCACCTACATTGTCGCCTAATCATCAAAGGTAATAAAAAAATGTTCTTTATAATCTATTGATTGTAGTCATTGTTATGAACCATTTACCATTTCCCCCCTATGTTCACTCGTACCAGGAACGTAACCCCATTTTCCCATTGCAAATTCTGCATTCGTGAGCGTTTTTAAGAACATAACCCTCGCAGATAGAGAGGGTTTACTGTATACAGAGGAACTTTCACGTAAGGTCATATTCACACAGATAACATCATCAATAGCTCTACATGAGACATTCACATTTCTTCTAAAGCTCCGTCTTGGTAACTTAATTACTTAAAAGTTAATAATTTTAGGTACCCAGCTTACACTGTTTGCAAGCAAGAAAATACTGTTTGGGAGCATCTTTTTAAGGCCAGCACACGAGAGGGTGGATGACCAGCACCACGTCCAGCCACCTTCGTTTAACTAATACTGTTTATACATAGCACCAGGTGCTCATTTAAGGCTGAGTCAACCTAGGGGAGGCCTCGGACAGGTTCAGATATTCGACACCGATGTTGGCCGTGAGCAGGAATCTAGGTGCATGATACAAGTGTGTTTATGATACAAGTGTGTTCATGACACGAGTGTGTTAACCACTGTGCTACTGCTACCCGTGCAGGCGCACACACACAAGCACACACCTGTAGTAGCCGATGAGACAGCTCCAGTTGCTTGCGTTTGTACTGCTGTGACTTGGCAAGCGTACTTGTCTGCAGCTTCTTCAGCTCCAGTATGTCCTCTCCGATGATCTGCACACACAAGGGTTTGTTTCATTTGATCCTTTAGCACAGTTGGCTACGTACGGTGCAAAATAAGTAAAAAAATATGTACATTGTATCCATAATAAAGGTTTTTTGGGAAGCGTATTATTAAGTGATACACTGTTTAATTGCATGCCTATATGCAGGTTACCATATGATGATTGACTATGACGAATCCAATCGGTAATATGTATTAAATTTTTTGATATAAACAGAATGTAAGGACAACAAACTAAAGCTTTTGCACTATATGTTGATTAACTAACAACGCCAATAAGTACTGCATATTCTCAGGATCACCATAATCCATTGTAATGTATATGACTACATTAACCGCCCCTATGGTCTTGCACCTGAAACGCTCAGTGATGAGATCACGTTTACTCTATTTAAGACCGAAACAGGAAGACTTCGTCACAATTCTGGAAAATCGCCTTATGAAGCTGGTTGTAATCACCAGTAAAAACGTCGTACTCATATGTTGTGGGTTTACTCTCCAACACACTGGTGTGCTGAAGTAGTAACTAGTTGCCACATTGTCGGGTGGTGGCGGGTTAACGGCACATATATGGATATTGGTCGCAAAAGCCAACGTGTTAAATATACATACATTATAGTTGTGAGACTCAGCTAACTGCTGACTTTGTTACTGTACAATGTAAAACCCAGCTGGGTGGAGCCGTGGAAGAACCCACTCTAGCAAGGTGTATATTATGTGTACATGAGAGGCAATATCATGGACCAACGGTTGTACATTTCTTTGTTTGTTGCAGAGGTTCACATCCAGTAGGCTGCCTTGGTTTTTACTGCGGAGGTATTCACCATAATATATGCACCATTTGCTTCACAAAACATGTTAAACTAGAATGCCATACTCTTTGGTTCTTTCGGTAAAGTCACGTAGGTATAAAATAAATCACGATTCAGCAAAAAAATATTGCTGTAGTTTTCCCACCCGATGATGATTGCTTGTGTTGCAATCGAAACGTCGATGATTTATTTTATTTTCTACCAACGTTACTTTACCGAAAGAACCAAAGAGTATGGATTCCTGCAGTCACGAAAGCTTCAAATCTAGACAGAATGCCATTGTGTGCTGGCATCATGGTCCACATTTCCTAATTAGAAAAAATTACCCACAAATCACTCAAATGGAAACACACCGTCTTCCTTTGTGACAGCCTTTCACGATAAGAATGGCACGAGTACTAAATGTTTTGCCAAGATTTTCGGAGTTCTCTAACAAGAGACGAACTTTTAAATATCAGGGAAACAACTCCTGTGGATTTAATTCCTACTTTTCTGCTTCCAGCGGCAGAATTAGTAGGCATTCTAGTCAATGCCGCGCTAGGCTTTGCTCAAGCAACGAAACGCCGCCCAAGGGGTAAACGGTCGGGGGCTCTAGTACGGCTACGCAGACGCGGGATCCGAACAGTGCTTCCGAGCTTTTTCCTCTCCAACGTACGTTCACTGTACAACAAAATGGATGAACTTCAGCTACTGATGGTAAAAAACAAAGACTTTCTTTCAGCTTCTGCATTGTGCTTCACGGAAACATGGCTGTGTGATTTGATTCCGGACACTTCGCTACAACTAGCAGGATTCCATCTTGTAAGATCGGATCGTGACATAGCACTCTCCGGCAAGACGAAAGGCGGTGGTATTTGTTTTTACATTAACAGTGGCTGGTGTGTAGATGTCACAGTGATTCTGCAACATTGTTCTCCACTCCTTGAATCAATTTTTATAACCTGTAAACCGTTTTACTCGCCTCGCGAGTTCGCGTCGCTCATTTTGGTCGGAGTTTATTTGCCGCCTTGTCCTCAGGTTAAAGAGGCCCAACGCATGCTCGCCGATCAGATTCTGAGTGTGGAGCGAGCAAATCCAGATTCGTTGGTTATCGTACTTGGCGACTTTAACAAAGGTAATCTCAGCCACGAACTCCCCAAATACATACAATTCATTAAATGCCCAACCAGAGAAGGGAACACTCTGGATCACTGTTACACTACAGTCAGTAGAGCCTACCACGCCGTCCCCCGAGCAGCACTAGGACACTCTGACCATGCCATGGTCCACCTGATTCCTGCATACAGGCAGAAACTAAAACTCTGTAAACCTGCTGTGAGGACATCTAAACAGTGGACCAGTGAGGCTGTGGAAGATTTGCGGGCGTGCTTAGACTGTACTGACTGGGATATGTTCACGACTGCTACCAATAGTCTAGATGAACTCACAGAGGCTGTGACGTCCTACATCAGCTTCTGTGAGGACTGCTGTATCCCAACACGTACCAGGGTGAACTTTAACAACAATAAGCCCTGGTTCTCAGCAAAGCTCAGAAGGTTGAGGTTGGAGAAGGAGGAAGCGTTTAGGAGTGGAGATAGAGACAGATTCAAGGAGTCGAAGAACAGGTTTAGCAAAGCGGTGAGAGAGGCTAAACGACTGTACTCAGAGAGACTAAAACACCAGTTCTCTACAAACGACGCTGCTTCTGTCTGGAGAGGGCTCAGGCAGATCACCAACTACAAACCCAGAGCCCCCCACACCACTAACGACTCCCGCCTAGCCAACGACCTGAACGAGTTCTACTGTAGATTTGAAAGACAATTGGACTGTCCTGAACCACCCCTTCCAACCCAAGAGGCCCCATCCCCCACCAATACTACAGAGACGACTATCTCCTTTCAGGAGGGAGAAGTTAATAGACTTTTCAAGAGGCAGAATCCACACAAAGCAGCCGGGCCGGACTCTGTCTCTCCAGCCACCCTCAGGCACTGCGCTGACCAGCTGTCTCCGGTGTTCACCAACATCTTTAACACCTCCCTGGAGACATGCCATGTACCAGCCTGTCTCAAGTCCTCCACCATCATCCCTGTGCCCAAAAAGCTAAGGCCAACAGGACTAAATGATTACAGACCGGTCGCCCTTACATCTGTGGTAATGAAGTCTTTTGAGCGCCTGGTCCTGGCACACCTCAAAGCCATCACAGACCCTCTCCTGGACCCCCTTCAGTTTGCCTACAGAGCCAACAGGTCTGTGGACGATGCAGTTAACATGGCCCTCCACTTCACCCTACAGCATCTGGACGCCCCAGCATCCTACGCCAGGATCCTGTTTGTGGACTTCAGCTCTGCCTTCAACACCATCATCCCTGCCCTGCTTCAGGACAAGCTCTTCCAGCTGAACGTGCCATACACCACCTGTAAATGGATCACAGACTTCCTGTCTGACAGGAAGCAGTGCGTTAAGCTGGGAACACAAGTCTCTGGCTCCAGGTCCATCAGCACCGGAACTCCTCAGGGCTGCGTCCTTTCCCCTCTGCTCTTCTCCCTGTATACCAACAGCTGCACCTCCAATCATCTGTCCGTCAAACTATTGAAGTTTGCGGATGACACCACCCTCATTGGGCTGATCTCTGGTGGGGATGAGTCTGACTATAGGTGGGAAGCTGACAATCTGGTGACCTGGTGTAGCCAGAACAACTTAGAGCTAAATGCTCTAAAGACAGTTGAGATGGTTGTGGACTTCAGGAAGAATACAGCACCACTCACCCCCATCACCCTGTTAGACTCCCCAGTAAAAATTGTAGAGTCCTTCCGCTTCCTGGGCACTATTCTCTCCCGGGACCTCAAGTGGGAATTGAACATCAGCTCCCTCACCAAGAAAGCTCAACAGAGGATGTACTTTCTACGGCAGCTGAAGAAATTCAACCTGCCAAAGACAATGATGGTGCAATTCTATACAGCGATCATTGAATCCATCCTCACCTCCTCCATAACCGTCTGGTACGCTGCTGCCACTGCCAAGGACAAGAGCAGACTGCAGCGTATCATCCACACTGCTGAGAAGGTAATTGCCTGCAATCTACCGACCCTCGAGGACCTGCACACGACAAGGTCTATGAGGCGAGCGAGGAAGATTATGGCCGATTTCTCCCACCCTGGACACTCTCTGTTTCAGCTACTCCCCTCCGGCAGAAGGCTTCGGTCCATCAGGACCAAAACCTCACGCCATAAAAACAGTTTCTTCCCATCTGCTGCTGGCCTGTTAAACAAGGCCAAGGGCTAACACTGTTTTTTAACATTTGATCTACATAACGACACGTTGCTGATATTAACTATGTTTCCCTATTTGTATTTTTAAATTATATCTTAAAGCTATTTTATATTCGATATTTATTTAATTTTATATACTTCAGCCCCTTAGTGTTAGACTTTTAACCCTTATTATAGTAAGACTTGTTTAAAACTTATTTAAGATTTTAGATTCCTATATGTTGAATGTATGCACCATCCTGCCAAAGTAAATTCCGTGTCGGTGTGAACTTACATGGCGAATAAAACCCTTTCTGATTCTGATTCATGACTATTTATTATTTGCGCACGTGAAACTCACTTCCAAGCGACTCTGGTGCAGCTTGGTCATCTCTTCCTGGCTCTTCAGTCGTTGGTGCAGCTCTTTGAACCCCACCATGGGCACAGGGATGAGCCTGCACACAGTCACCATGATAACACCTATGGGACCCTTTTTGGCAGTATCAAGAATGATGAGAAATAAGAACAGGTTTGACCCTTTCTGGCAATAAAACAGGTGTTAAGATTTTGATTTAAAGCTTTCGTGACTGCAGGGATTCATATTATTGGTTCTTTCGGTAAAGTCACGTAGACGGGAAACAATAAAATAATAAAAATATAAAACAATAACATTTTATTGTATTATATTTTTATTATTAAGATGTTCAAACACCAGATGCCTTTTGCAAGGGATCAGTCTGCATTAACCACACATACTTGTGGCAAAGCCATGCAAACACACGTGCTCCGATAATAATATATGCATTGTCTTTGAAACTGATTGGCCTACACCAGAGATAGCCTTCTTTATGGCCTTGTCTCACCAGTGTTGATTTAGTGCCAGAAATGGTAAAAACCTATTGTTGTTTTTCATCATTATAACATATTCAGCTGCCGTTAAACATTCAAGATCCCTCAGGGATGGCAGGGTGGTGCATTGCTAACACTTTTGCCTCGCAGTCAGATGGCCCCTGGCTTGAATTTCTAACTCGGGTGCCTTTTTGCGTGGAGTTTTGTAAGTTTTTCCCCCGTTGGGCATGGGATTATTTTTTGGGCACCAGATTCTTCTGGGTTCTCTGGTTTCTTCCGAAAGCAATCTGGTTTCTTCCCATAGCAACAAAAAAAACTGATGTAACTGCAATTGGCTAAACATCCCAATGCAGACAAATTACCTGCACATTTATCAATTGAGATTACGCAGAGCCACATCGCCCCCCTACTCCAAAAACTCGATAGGACCCACCCGAAATACAATTGTGAGATTTTCCAGGGCAAACAAGCTTAAAAAAACTAAGACAAATATAACAAAGGAGACTTACTTTTCTCGATCAGGGTTGCCAATTTTTGCTTGTTCCCAGATAATTGGGTCAATTCCTAAAAACAAAAACAATTAGAAACGTGGAAAAATAAAATTGTGCACAAAAACGTTCTATACCTTCATATAAACTTTCAACCCAGCCACTTTCCTTATGACTTTCAAGAAAAGTGTCTTCAGTAAGCATATGAGCATTTGAAAAAATGTCAACATTATCCCCTTGAATAATGCAGCCACATACCTGTCCAGGAATGTTTATGCTTATATAATTTTTTTTTTAAGGACAAGACCTTATTACTTATTCATATGTTGACGAAATTGTAAAAGATTGTCGAGATTTGTTTTATTTAAAAGTTAAATTGTCTTATTGCAAGCCAGTTCCCCTTTGCAGAACAGAAAATGTAATTTCATGTTTCTCAAATTAGTTTATTTAATCTCCTGGCTAAATCTGCCAGGTGGCTCAGTGGTAAAAAGGGGGGGCACACAAGCAGAAGGTACAGGAGTTAAAATCCTGGTTTGGGGTTTAACTCAGCCAGTCATCCCTCCGGGGTCAATAAAATGAGCCCCACTATGTGGAGAAGTCAACAGGACAGTGGAGACTCGGCCCCACAATAATATAAATTGTCCACCACAAGCTCTGGGTTGTAGACAGGAGAGGACCACAGCTTCAACAATCATTTGAGCAGGAATTCAATGGAGGACTCTCGACTTGGTTAAATAAAGGATACCTACCAATACCCCTCACACACATGTACACAGGAAGAACGTGCTGGGCTACACGTGGGTTTGTTTACCAAGGGTGGGTGTGTGTGTGTGCGTGCGTGCGCGCGAGCGCTCGGGCTCCGCGTACCGGCTGGCGGAGTGCGCAGGTGCTGCTGCATCTGCGCCTGAGACAGCGCGACTCGTGGTGCCAGCAGGGTCACAGAGAGCTGCTGGTCGAGCATCGGACGCACCGACGGCTGCTCCAGCGCCGTACACAGCGTGGAGGCATGGACCCTGCGGGCACCCCCACCGGGGACCCGCTCCGTCACGTACACCACCACCTCCGTCCTACCACATGACCACGGCAAAGATCGGCAGGGCCAAGGCTCTGCCTTAGCTTCCCGCACAGACACCACGTTGACGTGGCCGAGTGGTAGCATGTTGGCTATTGCAGAGGTTCGCCGTTCAAACCCGGCAAAGCCGCTCTGGTTAATACTGCGGTTGTATAAACCGTAAAACACCTCTCGCCATTTGCTTCACAACCCGCGTACAGCGAGGGAAGCCCTGGCTGGTTTATCATTCATTAATCTCCAGTTCAGTCACAAACGAATCTCTTAGAGCCGAAGGCGCGATCCAGTATCACGTTGGCATGCCGTGTCAACCCGTACGGGGTTACCCCGTATTGGTGTACAGGGAGATTGAGTTCTCAGGTCCATACGGCTTACTAGAGCCGTTTCAAAACGGGCAAAACAATGTTTTGTGTTTCTCCCCTTGTGATGGGATTTTGTAGGATGAACGTTGAGATTTGTAAGGGGCACGGGGTGACCAATAAGGTCTGAATTGGTCTGTAATAAGAGAGGCAATGGTTAGGGGTTGACAGGTGTGCGTTGGCACTGCGTGCCACGTCGCGTTGTCATACAGCTGACACTCCGATGAGCAATGATTCGGCGACGCACGGTGCCAAAGGGGCCGTCCATAAATGACGTCACGCGACTTCTGACGATTTTTGACCCCACCCCCCCATTGTCACACGGCGTCACAAAAAGTCAGACCCCCCCCTCAAATATGACGTCACAAAGCTCTGGCCCCCCTCCCACCAAATAAAACATGCTTCAAATCGCTTTAAACTATTGTCATTGTAGTGCGTATTTAATGTGGCGCTGCACTCTGATGTTGTAGGAGAAAACATTTATTAAAAAGTATATTTAATTAAGTAGAACGTGTCGTCTATATTTACTTAAAGTTGCGCATTTTGATGTGACGTCACATTTCTCACCCCCCCCCCTCGTCACACATCGTCACAAATGTCTGATCGCCCCCCCCCCCAGGTGCGTGACGTCATTTATGGACGGCCCCAAAGACGTTCAACATTCGTGCGTATCCGCCGTGATGTGGGGCGAAGTAATATTCTAATCTTATTATCCGCGATGCCTGCAGGATTAGCTTTTTTCTTCTTCGTCTTCCAAAGCAGATTATTAATGAGAATATTGATGGAATTTCCCCCAGTGCATGTTGGCTGGGGAAGGGCTGTTTAAGACCCGCGGTGAACCCGCTCATCTCCACGTATCGGCATGAAATGACAAAATCGCAGATTTTCGGAAGCGCGTTCGTTTCAAGTGGATGCTTGTTGTCAACACCGCCATATTGACAGCACTCGCAATCATCCCATACTCAATTGAAACTCTTCTTAAGTAATTGCTTATTGTGTTTAGTTCCTTGTCCTTATCTCATACCTCCGATTAGCACGGTGGGCTACGTACGGTGCGAAAGAATTTCAAGATACAAACATACGATGTGTTAACACTGGAACACATGAGGGTGTGCTATGGGGTTGCCACCTTTTCGATTGTAGACCAACCCTGGGCAATGTCTCAGTGCTTGGTCTATTATCATAATTATACAGTAAATGACAATACAATAATTGTATAAAAAATACTTACTTGAAACTGCTCCAAAATCAATCAAAACGAACAAAAGTAGATCGGAATTCAATGTAAAATGCTTGACATTTAATCTGCCGCATAGGCGATTCATGGTCAAGATGTTGTGTATGTTTGTATGGGCATGGCTAGAGTTGCCAACCGTCCGAGAAATAGCATCTGTGTTCAGGTCGTATTGATCTGTACCCTCGATATTGCACTCGTATTGAGAAATCTGTCCAGGTTTGGTCTGCTATCAGTAGAATCATTTTTCAACCCAGCGTATGTTTGCATGGTGAACTTCTTTCGCACCGTACGCTGCCAACCATGCTTTAATGGAGGTGCGGGGGAATGACAAACTGAACGCAAAAAGAACAGGGACACAGCCTTGAAAACACAGAAGTGCATTTGCACGTAGGGCGGTTGTTGAAGGGGAAGAGGGATGAAAATGATTAAGAGAGGCGTATCAGGGCAGAGCAAAGTGCTTATTATTATTATTATCTTAACTTAATAATGAAACGTAACTGAGCCATATGCCTTAAGCAGAACGTTTTTTTCAAACAGATGCATCACAAACAGAAAATATAACCAATGTTTAGAAATGCACAAGGAAGCGTAGAGATGATGCGCATCCTAAGAACAACACTGATACTGGAAGACGGACACGTCAATTGGACTTCATATGCAAATTAAGGACGTAATTTTAGTTTAGAAAGGTGGGGTGAGGCAGGACACACAACTTGAAGTGATGACGGCCGGTGGTCGAGACTAACGTGGGAATGGGAGCTAAGGAAGGAACACAACCGGCAGTGTCCACTGCGGAGATGGAGTGAATAAATCAACAGTATATGATTTTTGATTTGGAGAATTTTATTGTTTTATATCTTTATTATTTTATTTTCTTTGGTTCTTTCGGTAAAGTCACGTAGAATGAGAATAAAATAATAAAATGACACGATAAAATTCTCACGACGTTTTGGCCACAACGCAAGCGGCCGTCTTTAGGTGAAAGGTAACTGTCGGGACGACAGAGCTTCAATTAACGATGTTAAGATTCGTAGAGACTTTTAAGCTGGTTGGGATAAGTGAAGCACCTTGACAAAGGGGTTTACATATCAATAGCTGAGGGATTAGCTTGTGACTGGTCACGGAATTGGCTATGTTAAAGTCAAAACCTACACATCCACAGAGGCAACTAGTAATTTAGCATTGAAATAGCTAAGGGATTAGCTTGTGACTGGTCACAGGAATGGCTATGTTAAAGTCAAAACCTACACATCCACAGAGGCAACTAGTAATTTAGCATTGAAATAGCTAAGGGATTGGTTTGTGCAAATAGCTGAGGGATTATCTTTATTATTTTATTGTTTCCCTTCTACGTGACTTTACCGAAAGAACCAAGAATATAGTATATGAATAAGATCATTTATTTATTTTGCTAACTTTACAATTAATCGTACATTTTAATTGTACTAGTTTAATGTCTTCAGGTTTAGTTTCTAATTCTCTAGGATAAAACAAGTTATTTTGTCAAAAAGAATGACGTTAATTGGCGCATACATTGAAAGTGCAATTTTAAATGAACCGTGTCAGTCTTCAAATACTGTTCTGGTTATTCCCACCTTGTTGGTGTCCCTATTGTCTCCTGCACCCACTAACAACGGAGTTATTGTTGGGATGGAGAGAAGCACAGCCAGCAGCCAGCCAGGAAACTCGAGACATAGAATATATTAATAGCAGCATGACTTACACTGCTACAGCAGCGAGGTGGTCATG